ATAGTCATACTGACTTAGTGATTTCTTCGGATAATTACCATCTCGACCACACGGGTGAGGAATTGAGTGTGAGAGTCAAAGAGTTGATGAAGGGAAGTTGAGGTCATTTATTATGCACCCCATATTCTTCTAGTACAGAACAGTTACAGCCCCGCTCCTGTGCCCGCTAAGTCCACTACGGGCTCACCATAGCCCGTGCTACTTGGGAACTTTGTTCCCAGTAGCGGAATCTTAAACAACAATCTTCTAGTAGGCAGTACTGGAAGGGAGGGAGGTGAGGGAAGTATACCTAACGAGGGAAAATGTACTTGGATTATGCCGAGGGCCGTCACACTTTAGGGAGTGAAGGGAGGTGTTTGTCCTCTTTTTACTTACCCTTTAATTGTCGGTACATCAAGCAGCACTTATTTATTTATTTATATACAAGAAGGTACATTGGGTTTATGAGAGTACATAACATTGATGATTTTACATTCTTGTTAAGCCACTAACATGCATAGTGCTTCAGGCAGGTCCTTAATCTAACAGATAACTTTTAAGTAGGTAATTTCTAGCAAAATTGGGAAATGTTAACAGGTACATTGTAAGAAAATTGGATGGTGATTAGTAGGTACATTATAGGAAATTTTGAAGATTATCAACAGATACATTGTACCACAATATGATGATTATTTTGAGGTATATTGAAGTAACATATGCATTCAATATAACAACCGTGATATAAGATGATAGCAGTGGTGACTATGGTGAAGTTATATGGCTTAGGTTATTTATTGGGGGAGTGGGTAGCACAAGATACTGTGAGTCTGAAGCACTAGGTAGGAAACTATGAAGATGAAATTAGGTACTTTTTGGTTTTACTTTTGAATAAGGTGTAGGTTGGACAGCTTTTTAATTCGTTAGGGAGTGAGTTCCATAGACTAGGTTTCTTTATTTCCTTAGTGTGTTTACACAGATTTAGTTTGGGGATATCAAATATATATTTATCTCTGGTGTGGTGATTATGGGTTCTATTACATCTGTCAAGGAAGAGTTTCAGATCAGGATTTGCATTTAGGAACAAGGTTTTGTATGTGAAGATGGCACAAGAGAATGATTGGAGTGAGCTTATATTTAGCATGTTTAGGGATTTAAAAAGGCGGCTGTGTGTTGTTTGAAAACACAGTTTGTTATTGTTTGTTATTGTTTGTTATAAGAGTTTGTTATTGTGAACCCACCAGATCAGCCCACCCACCAGAGCATGGTGGATGGACGAATGTGCCAAACTTTGGCTACAAATGCCTAGGCTTTGTTGGTGGTGGCTCTTGTTCTCCTTTGGGCTTCTCTTAACAGTGACGAGCTGTCTACTTAAATGCTATGCAACTACATCCTGAATTACTGTATTCAGTAAGTTTTGTCCATGGGAATGAATGTGGCCCAGTTCAACTCCCATATTCATTTTACTCTTATGAAAGATTTCTCATTGTGGTGCACAAAGAAATATTAACGTGATGTATAAGTGATGAAATCGGTACTGATTTTCTCTTTGATACATTTGAAGAGAAGCATTGGGGGTAGAACTCATATATAACACCTGAATGTATGTGGGTCACATTAATGTGTGAAACCTTGATTTGGTATCAGCTAGATGCCTCGGGAACCCCTCGAGGATTTGATTGAATCCCAGGATACATTACTTTTGAGGACTTGGAGGTGCTGATGATTCCCACTTGGTCTTGGTCCACAACACCTCTTCCTTTCCCTTCAGGTGCCTGGAGGCCCTGCTTCTGTCACTAGTCCCTACTACATTGGTGGCAGAGGGTTTAGAGTTGTCTAATCTCACTAGAGTTCTAAGGGTTTTCCCTTCACAACTGTCTTTTTGTCCTGGGCTTTCTCCTTTGGAGCACACTTTCCTATCCCCCTCTAATTCAATTCTGAAACCCGTCAGGTGATGCGGAATTATCTTTTCTACAGAGGTTTCCGTCTTCCCGTGGTGCCCCTTTTTTAAGACTGTTTTCTGGCTGTGGGGTCAGGAAGGTTCAGGCTTTTCTCTGAAGGTGGGGGATTTTGCTTTTCTGGCCTTGGTGGGTGATTCGGTTGTTTGCAGCCTTCTTCTTTTCTAAGGGCGAACAAGTTAGCAGGCTTCCGGAGGGGTCTTTGGTGATTGACACCTGGTTGGTTCAGCTGGGCATACAGTGTCTGTTGTGGCTGGTGGCAGCTTCTTGTCACTACTGTATCTGCCTGCCACTGGTTCTTTCTTGGTAGACGCTTAATTGGTCGATATCATTTTGAAATACAGTACACTACGAGCCCATTTCCAGGGCTCCTGTTTCTCTGGCTGTCCACATTGTCTAGTCTATCCAGCCTGTGGACTATCCTTTGGCTTATGATGTTCATAACTTTGTAGCTTTTAGCAGCTATGTTTTCTAATATATCCTGGGCAGATATTCAGCCTTGGGAGTTTTGGCATTTGAACAGGGTACTGGCAGCCCAGTTTTTAGTTAACATTCCTGGTCTCAGTTGGTCTTGTGTGGCTTCAAGCTGTGTTGCCCGACTTGGACTGTCTTCTTCGTGTTGTGCATGTGCAGCAGCATCTTTCCCCTGGTATGTCCCTGGTTTTATTCTCTGTGGTTAGTTAGCTGTAGGGAACCACAAGAAAACCCAGCATTGAGCATAAAGAAATGCCAATTTCTGGAGGAGCCCCAGTGGCTCCCTGTTTCCCCTCTAGGTGTGTTGGTTTATTGCAGGGTTGGTCAGTTCCTGAACTGACGTGGGCAGCTAACTGGAAGCCTGGGTCAGGCCGCCTGGTAGCAGTATTCAGTACAAAGGAGTTTCGTGTTTATTTTGAGTGAATCCCTTGTTCTATGCAAATCATTTTGCAGGGTTGTTTGGCAGTTTTGAGGCTTCAGTTCTTGTGAGCTCAACAGTTGTCTGTAAAGCTGCACTGACTTTCTGGAGGCTTACCTTGATTGGGTGGAAGATTGTCAGCTGCTCCCTGTGCCTCTTTGAAGGGGGGAGGGGAGGTATGCCAGGTCCCAGTAGGCCTAACAGAACTACCACGACTGATGAGATCTCTTAATGTAAAGCAATCTCAGCAAGATAGCTTCAGGGATCCACATGGGCTCCTTCAGAAACTGGAGTTTCATTACATTCAATGCTGGGTTTTACTACTGTTCATAAACTGTATCAAACTACATTGATCTTTAAAACTTCCTAGAGTGCTTCAGGATCAATTTAGTAATTTGGTTTTTATAATCCATATACAGTATACTGTAGTAGGCTGAATACAACTTTATCCTCTTTGCTATAATTTTTGTTTAATAACCATTCTCACATTAAAAATCTGATGTGTTCAAAATTTACAAAAATCATCTTCATAGATTGTTTTCTCTCTTATTCTCAGTTTTGTTCCCTTGCATAGACTTTTTCTGGGATGTTAAGTACAGTAAATAATCCTCTTATTTCCCAGTTTCTTTCCTTATACTGTATACATCATAGTATACAGTATAGTGATCACAACTGCCTTAGTCCAATTATCTGTGGCACTTCATACCCGTCCTGCTTGCCCAATCAATCTGACAGCCATCTAACATACATCTGACCACCAAAACCTCTCTATCATACCTTAACGTATATACAATTATTAAATCTTTACTAGAAGCCTTTTCCCTCTTTAACATATTCATAGCTTCTTCAATTTCTCCCTGTTTCTATTTTTCTCTGATCTTCCACCCTTTCATTCATTTCACAAGATGTTGCTATTGCCATGTCTTTACCATTTGTAACAGTTACTCTTCAAATATTCAGTTTGCCTACTGGTAACATAGTGTCAACTATGGTTTCCCCCACATCTTTCACTCGACCTCCTCCTTTCCCCATCATGATTATATTTAATGTTTTTTAATAATAATTTCTTGTTTTTAAAAGCCCTTCCTTGACTTTCTCAGAAACTCTTTATCTCTGACCTGTTTCTTTTTACCTGAATTTACCCAAGGGCCACCACGTCTCTAGTGGTGGTGGCCACTAGAGAGGTGGTGGCCACCACCACTCAACAAGAACACGAAGCCAGTGGCTTATCAAAGGTTCTCCTATTTTGTCTGATGATTTCATCCAGGAGGATTTTGAATTGCAGCAATGTTTTGACAATTATGGTTTTGGCAGGTAAGCAGTTCTATGGGTTTATAACCTCCCATTTTCTGTCTTACATTGTGACTTGTTGAGCTTGAAGTCATTCTTCCTTAAGTTACATTTGACTTTTTAAAGAAGTGACCTGCATAAATATCCTCAAATTGTTCAGTACAGTATTTTAAAAGTTTTGATATCAGTTCTGTCATGTCTGGTTTGCAGTGTTGTTAGCCCTGTGGCCATCAAATGTTCCAGGTATGAGGGAGGGAATTATCAGGGGAAAGCGCCAAGTCATTATGACTTTATAGCATTGGAAGAGGTCAGGATAAGGATTTGGGATGGGACAGAGTGAAGGAATGGTGCCCAACCTCTTGGACAGTCGGGAATTGAACGCCGACCCGCACGAATCAAGACTGTCGCTCTACCTTCCTGCCCAAGTGGTTGGAGAGTCGACTTAGTATTGGGATGATTTTTGTCGCCCGGTGTTGAACTTTCTCCAAAACAGGTATGTCCTTTTAAAGATGAGGTTCCATGCTTGGATACAGTTATACAAATTGGGTTCACCAGAGATTTATACAGTTAATAACTACCCTCTTTTCCTTGAAGTCAAAAGTTTGTTTGACTATTCCTAGAGTTTTCATGTCTTACCATTTTCCATGTATTCTTTTTACAGTTATTATTGTTTTCTTTTTTCTTTTATCTTACAAGACTTGGTTCCTAGAAGTCAACATAGTGTGTATTGTGTGACTGGCAGCTGTGTAGTACATTAGCAAGGAAGGAGGATGCTGTCTCATGGACAATACCTGATGAGCAGGATGCGCACAGGCATCTGCTTTGCTGCAGCTGTCATGGCTCCCAGGGCCATGCCATCTTCTTGCACCAGCATAGGGGTAAGTTAGTGTCCATAGCTAGATAATGTCTGTAGTATAGTCGACTCGGTTTTAATTGAGAATACACGTCCAGATACTGTACCTCATGTTTAAGCTGTTTGTGTAGTACATTACTGTTTTTTATTGAGGATCATATGGGGAAAATATATGAGCTAGTAAGTTCCAGGTCCAAGAATTACATGGAAAGTTTTTAAAATTAAAGTGTAGGACTTTAAAATTGTTAGTTTATTTATCTGATATAGTACATAAGTACTGAATGACTTCCCATCACCATACAAATACTGTACTCTACAGTGCAGTATTAAACAAATAACAGGGCAGTGCTGTTTATTCTGGTGTTAAAAGGTCTCAGGTTTAACTGGTTGTCTAGTGAGGAAATATTTTGTTTTGGGTAAAAAATTTCTGTAAAATGTATTTAGAAAATTTAATGACAGTTTAGAAAAACCCACTGATTACTTGCATCACTACTCAAAACATGTATAAATGATCACTGAATGCTTTAACCTTTGAGTGCACTATAACGAACTGCCAAGCAGTTCTAGTGGGTGTGGTAATCTTCATAATCCAAGCATAGTGCCACAGGCTACCTAACTACTTGTTGAATATCTGTTGTTGTTTCCTGGGATCAACTTCCCCTGTGGCCCAGGTTCTGACCAGGTCTCTTGGTTGGTGGTCAAGTCAACCAGGCTGTCGCCAACTTAAAAACAGTCAAACCTGACCTGACAGTAAAATGTCTCTTAATGAACTATGCACATTGCTAACTAGCCACAGCACTGCTATTATTATTAGAATCCTGGTCACTAAATCCTTAACATAAATCATCATCCACAAGTTTATTTTCTAAAGAATCATGCAGTCCCGTTTCATGATTGTGTGTGTGTGTGTGTGTATCAAACTGCGGCTGTGTGCTGTGACTGTCTACCTCATGCTGTGATCATCGTAACCAGCGATTGGGTTCAATAATATCTGAACCATATACTACATAATTTTTATTAGTCAGGATCTTGTATGACACTACTATATCATTATTAAATAATCACAGCTACGTATATTTTAATTTACGTATTTTATTATTATTAAGAGGTGTTGGCACATGCTACACGGCAGTGCTGTGAGCTGCTGCTGCATGTGCTGCTCATGGTCACCCTCTCAGTACGGAGACTCTCACACCCAGGAGGGGTGTCCATAATTTTCGTCCAAGATGGCATCCGTTTACTGGAGTCCTGTGGAAGCAGATGTAAGCACTATGTACTGACACGACTTTTAAATCTTGCGTGGTACTTTAAAACTTCCCCAGCCATGTTGTGTATGTTATGGATAATTAGCAAAATCAATGCCAGCTGTGTTGCACAATGGAAGGGTTAATGACAACTGATGGGAAGAATTTCACAACTATAGTACAGTTTTTGCTGGAGCATGACAATACTGACTACATGATGCTTTAGTATGCAGCGTAGAAGATTTGGCAAAAGGATGGTTTGTTTTCAAATATCTTGAAACATTTTATTCTGGGTTGCTTTTTTTCAGATTGATGACCTGCTACCAAATTGATATTGGGAAATGAGGTAATAATAACAATGATTTTTATGCAAAATCAGATAATAAAATCCATATTAAATTAATTCCCCTTTTCTCTCCCTCTCATGTACTGTACTAACAAAAGCACACTATGACCTCGTCTCCTCAGCGACCTCAGCAGTCTCCTTTAGTAATGCTGTCATTAATCCAAATCCGTGACTTCCACTCACGGCGGTTTTCCCGTAACATTGAGTTTTTCACCGCAAGTGATGTTCCACTTCCTAAGAATACAATGGAGGTGAGGGCTAATCAATCGTTTTAAGTCCGAATTGTCAGCTAGTTAATATAAATGAGTTATTTTCATATGTTCATTTGCAGCACAGTGAGTTATAAGGCATGCTGCTAACATTTACTATTTATATTTTATTTCCCAGTATAGTATTATACTTTTGCATTTTCAAGTTTCTGATCATAGCAATGCTATTAATATTGCAAGTTGCTTACATGTTAATCGATTAAATCCTCTGTATTTTGTAGATGGCTTCAACATTGAGCAAGCATGACCGTCCATTAACGCTTTTGTTCTGCTGGCTCATGGCTCGGGAGCGGTATATCAAGAAGTATGCTCAGCTTTACACCAACATGGGGTGTGATGTACTTAAAATCCGAATATCACCATTCGATCTCTTGCGGCCTACCAAGGGATCTCAGGTTAGAATAAAGTAGAAATATACTTTTAATTTTAATATCAAATTGCCTTGGCAGAACCTTTTATTTCTGTTACCAAAATGGGGTTCAGTTTCTTTACACATTTCTGTACATAATGTACAGTACAACTTTAAAATAATTTTATTTCCTGGAATGTGGCATCAGAGAAAATAGACCACACACAACTTATATATTATGTGAAAAGGAATTAAAGAACTAATAAAGAACGAGATCTAGGAGGGGTTTTGGATAGTAAACTTTCACCAGAGAAACACATAAAGAACATGCAGATGAGGAGTCACAATAACGTGGCTGATAAATATTGACCAAACCACACACTAGAAAGTGAAGAGATGACGACATTTCGGTCCGTCCTGGACCATTATCAAGTCGATTGTGATGAGAGGAAGGAGGCAAAGACAATAAATAGGCAAGAGAGAGAGGTGAGGAGAAGGTGATATAAGCTTCCTCTCATCACAATCGACTTGATAATGGTCCAGGATGGACCAAAACGTCGTCGTCTCTTCACTTTCTAGTGTGTGGTTTGGTCAACACACAAAGAACATTGTGTAAGAAGCGTATGCAAAGCTTTCTAACTTCAGATTTGCTTTTAACTACATGGATGGTAACATAGTAAAGAAACTGTTCATGGCTTTTGTGAGAACAAAATTGGAATATGCAGCAGTTGTATGGCGCCCGAATCTCAAGAAGCACATTAATAAACTGGAAAAGGTGCAAAGGCATGCTACAAAATGGCTTCCGGAACTGAAAAACAAGAGTTATGAGGTGTTAAAAAAGTAGAGACGTTAAATATGCCAAAGCTGAAAGATAAAAGAAAGAGGTGATATGATCACCACACAATAATAATAACAGGAATTGACCAAATAGACAAAGATGAATTCCTGAAACCAGCAGCTTCAAGAACAAGAGGACACAGATTCAGGCTAAGGAAACAAAGGGGCCGAACAAAATATTAACAAGTTTTCTAATATTTTCCTTTGCTCACAGAAGAGGTAGATAATTGGAACAAGTGAGAAGGTGGTAGAGGCCAAAACTGTCAGTAGTTTCAAAGCATTATATGACAAGTACTGGGAAGATGGGACACCATGAGTGTAGCTCATTATGTAACTACACTTGGGTAATTACACACACACACACACTCCCTCACTCATTCACTTGCATGCATGATGAAGTTACAAAAACATATATACCAAAACAAAGTTGCAGAGCCACAAAATAGGATTAGTTCAACAGAAATTGTAAGAGGGCCAGAGAGGAAAAGACAGGAAAATGGGTTCAATATAGGAGGAGGCCTAACCTTCAAACATACCAGCACTACAAACAAGCAAGAAACAAATACACAGCAGTGAGAAGAGAGGCAGAAAGGAACTATGAGAATGGGGTAGTGGACAAATGTAAAACATATCCAAGCCTTTTCTATAAATTCATTAACAGCTAGCTGCATATAAATTATAAAATCTAAAGACTGAGAATGGAGAACAGGTTCACTGAGAATTAAAAAGAAATGTGTGAAAAAAAATGAACAGTTCCAAAGTGTGTTTGTGCAAAATGAGGTTTTCACAATGCCAATTCTAGAAAACACCATAGAGTACAGTAGTCTGGATGAGTGAGCTTAGTCAGTATACATGTTCTTAATTAAGATAATGTATTTAGAAATGAGTAGGCTTTTAACTGTTGCTTATATTACAGGTGGCAGCAGATCAGGTTCTACAGTTCCTACATGCAAATCCATCCCATAATCCATTATTGATTCATGGCTTGAGTGTTGGTGGATATGTTGCCATGGAACTCATGGTAAAGGTCAGTCTCAATGAGGAAGTTTATTGATGAAAGAATAAATAAGTGAGAAAGGTCAAGAATAATGAATTAAGGGCACCCTGTGGCTTTGTCGTTAGCACACTTGCCTTGCAAGCAGGAGGACCTAGGTTCGAATCCTTGGCAAGATGGGACGCTTGGGCATCGTTCCTTCACTCTGTTCGCCTCATACTTCCAGCAGTTTTGAACCAGGACATAGTGATATAGTGGATCATGATCTTGTGGAAGGGAAAACATGGCATTGACTAACATTAACTTCTTCACTCTCCTGGACTTCAATCCCAATACACACGCGCACACACACAAAAAAAATGATTTCTAGGAAACATTGCTACTTGATGGGAACTATCATTCAAAAAGTGGTTGTAGTCATGAATAGAAAAATATGTATATGTTGTTCAGTAGAATGAAAAATTTCAATCTTGTTCAAATTCTACACAGATTCAAAATGACATGCAGAAGCATGGGCATCTGCTAAATCGTTTTGTAGGACAAATCTGGGATAGTGGTGTGGACATCGAGGGAATACCCATTGGTGTACCCAGAGCCATCACCAACAACCAAAATATCCAGAATAATATCAAGAAATACCTCCTGTAAGTAGTTATACAGACCATTATTTTCAAGAGTTAGGTAGCTGAGAGAGTAGGGGGGTTTTGAATTACAGTACAGTACTCTATATAAATAGTCAAGAAAAACCACAGAGTTAATATGAATACAAGGCACTTTGACCGATTTGCACATTGAAGTGCTGTACATGTAGTTATACTGTACAGGCTTAGCACTTTCACTTTAATAATTACTTATTTTAACATACGAAGGATAAAAATGCAGGCGTGTCATGTTTAATACTTGATAGTGAAATGAGTCGTCAATATTGCCTCTTTCAATTTAAAATAATTACCGTAGTTGAGGTTTTTGTGGACCTAAGGAAAAATTTAATGGTCATACAGCAATTTTAATATTAATTTATGGTTCATAGTTTTAACATATTTACTCAAATGTCATATTCAATTAATAAAATGTAAAAGTAAGATTTGATCAAATCTGTATCCGGCAAATACTGTATATAACAAAACCTTTTGTACAGTATTTATAAGGTATTGCTCCACACATCATGAGTGAAGTGACAAAACTAAGGCAAATTTTAGGTTTCATATTATTTGTTTAGAGATGGGTGACTATTGGCTGAGGTAGATAATAACTACTGTAATATGGATTTCTACTTAAATTGTTTTTATTGAATTGTATTTTTAATTATTAGCTTTGTAATTCAAAGCATTGTATCGGATTGAAAGGTCAAGTCCAGTGTGATCAGACATTTTTGGTCTTACAGATGGTACTTAAAGGTTCAGTACAATACAGCAACAATTCATTATGAGAGAGCAAGTGCCAAGATGCATGAAAACTTTGTAGGGGTGCCAGCACTTCTCTTCTTCTCTGAAAATGATCCAATCTCCACCCCAGAAATGAATGCCAATGTGTACAAGAAATGGGAAGCAAGAAATTTCCCGGTAAGTTGATGCTTGTATAATTCTGATTAGCATATTTTTGTTTACATGCATGGGTAAAAGCTTTCTTTTCTAACAAAGGCATTCACAGACAGGCACAAACAGGTTTGCTGTGTATGCCTGGAGCTGGAGCTTGGATGTTGCAAGAAGAGCTACATAATCTCACATAAATGCTGCATAAATGCAAATATTGTACTGTATACACTTTACCTGCACCTTAGGAAAGTTGATGGCACATGTGGAAGGTTGTGAGGCAGAGGAAGAGAGATGTTATTCTTTAGTAGGGGAGTCCCCTACCATTATCACAGCTTTGTTAGTGATATTTTTCTAGAAAACTTTGCACTTCCCTCATTTTTCACACATTTTTTTTTATTAGAGAACTAGATTTAGACATACCAAACTTGGTAGGAAGAGCACACACATGGGCACCACTCTCATGTTTTGCCGAGCTCTTTTTTTTTTTTTTATCTCAATTGTGGTTCTAACTAATTTTCTTTTTGCTTGGATCTTGTCACTAACTTTTTAGGTGCCATTTACACTAACAATTTAAAACATATCCAAGAAAACACAAAGTTTAAAGAAGTCTTGTCGTGTTGTGCACTAAATGACAGCTACTGGGAAACTGACTCGTCTGGGACGATTGTTTACATTTGAGTGCCAATCAAATGGTCGAGTACTGAACATGAACACAACGTTCAATTGGGGGAGCTGTTTGAGTACCGAGGTCCCACTGTAGCTGCAATATAAGAATAGATTAGACAGCAAATATCACATTACTGTTGAAGTGTGTTCACATGGGACCATGGTTACACACATAAGATACTCGGGTGTTTCTGCAGTGGACAAAGTATGGGTTAGAACTCAATGGGGGGAATATGGCAGGTGGGTGGGCATTACAAGTGAAAACTTAACTCTCTAGTACACAAGATACAGTATGAAAAGGAATTTATTGTGTAAGGGTTCTATCCAGGTGTACATGGAGAGAAACTAGTAAAAAAGGTAAGGTATGAATGTAAACAATCAAGAATGAGGGCAGTAGGAATGGAGAATCAAAAAGTGAGAATGATGAAATAAATGGATTAGTATTAATATTATGTCTGTAACTTTTCATTATACTGCTTACATACCAAATTAAAAGTGGGAAGTGATGAAAAAGTTACAAGTAAGTTTTGTACATACTATATTCAAACACTGAAAGGGTGCAGTTTTGTATTCGAAGACTGATGTTGAAAAATTAACACTATCGCACTCTGTTGCCGTCACCCGTCATCGCTCATTTTTCTCCCGATTCTGAGCAAGTGACTATGCCTCGCATCATGTATTAAAATATTTGTAAAAAATTTAATTTTTATCCAATCAACTTCTGGGTGATTTCAAAATAAGCACCTTTAGATTGCGCACAATTTGATACCAAAATGAAGGACGTAACACGAAAATTAATGTCAGAACACTGGAAAGATATAAATAATTTTGTGGTGATGAGCGTCAAAATGTGTCCAAAAGTTAAAATATTTGTTAAAATTCCATTTATTGTTCTATTATTATGGGACTAGTTTTAAAATGTGCTCCTTTATATTGCGAACAATTTGATACCAAAATGAAGGACATGAAGCGAAAATTGATGTCAGAAAGATAATAAATGTCAGTAAGATAATACTTTTGTGGTCCAAATTTTAAAATATTTGCTAAAATACCATTTATTGTTCTATTATTATGGGACTAGTTTTAAAATGTGTGCCTTTACATTGCGAACAATTTGATACCAAAATGAAAGATGTAAAACGAAAATTGGTGTCAGAACACGGGAAATATGTAAATAATTTTGTGGTGGTGAGCGTCCAAAAGTTAAAATATTTGTTAAAATTCCATTTATTGTTCTATTATTATGGGACTAGTTTTAAAATACGTACCTTTATTTTGCGAACAATTTAATACCAAAATGAAACACGTAACACGAAAATTTGTTATCAAATTGAACGAGTATATATATTAGTCTGTAGGTGTGCCAATTGGTGTTCGTTCACGGGTAACTTGGCCGACTTTAGGCTTTATTGTGGGGAATCACACTGGGCTTTTAGACCTTATATGCATATACCCCTGTAGAAAATTCTATTGCGAAAACAATGATACCAAAACAAACGATGTAGCACAAGAAATAAGGTGAGAAAACTGAAACGAGTATATACTTTTCGGTGTCACCGCATGCTCGCCCGCACCCTACGGCACATGGCGTCATTTCTGCAGTGTGCACGAACGGCGCACGAGTGTTAAACACATTGGCAAAGAATATGATATGTTTAAATTAGTTTTGTGTAGTATATAATTCCAATTGTCTGGGGACAGGAACCCTGTACTGTACTTAGTCTTATATTGAAGTCCCCCTTAGGTTGAACTACTGACCTTTTTCAGGATGTAGTCCACATTTGTCTAACTCCATAGTACTTATTGACTGCTAGGTTATCTTGAGGTTATCTTGAGATGATTTCGGGGCTATTTAGTGTCCCCGCGGCCCGGTCTTCGACCAGGCCTCCACCCCCAGGAAGCAGCCCGTGACAGCTGACTAACACCCAGGTACCTATTTTACTGCTAGGTAACAGGGGCATAGGGTGAAAGAAACTCTGCCCATTGTTTCTCCCCGGCGCCCGGGATCGAACCCGGGACCACAGGATCACAAGTCCAGTGTGCTGTCCGCTCGGCCGGCCGGCTAGGTGAGTAGATGCATTTGGTGGAAGAAAAAATACCCAACCATTTCTGTTCCACCTGAGGATCGAACCCGGTATCCTTGATTGCAAGTAGAGAGTGTAGGCCACTGTCCTACAATACCCGAAATATTATGGAAGGAATGTTTGTAAAGGCATTAAAAAGGGACTTCAATAAAATACTGCTACTGGCCCTGACAAGTGGGAGTGAAACATGGGTATAGAGAGGGACTGAGTACTCAAGAATACCAAGTACTCAAGAATTGAAGTCGAGCTTGACTTCTAGCCGGGATTGGGAAGAACAACAACTCCCGAAACCCTCTCCAGGTGTGCTCCATATAGTGGTTATTTTTTTTCTCAGAAAAGTAGTTGGTATAATAGAGATGAGTATAGTAATAAGGAAGTAGATGAAATATGTGATATGAAAGAGGTGAGGAAATGAAATGTAGAATGAATGAAGTGTAATTCACTTCAATGTTTCCAACATGTTAATAGAATGCCTTAGAATTGTTTAACAAGAAGGTTGTACAGTGGTGAAATGTGTATGATTATATGGTAGAAAAAGGTGACCAGTGTCTTGGAAGGGGAGAGTGGAACAATATATGATAGTCGGGAAAGAGTTAGGGAGCTTGAAAGAGTGAAGGGTTTGTAGTGATAGCTTCATGGAGACACTTCTACTGTGGCCACCTGCTGATGGTGAGCTTCCATGGAGCAGTTAGCAGTTTGCTATGTGTTTTATCCAATCTGTTGTTCCGCAGAATATGTGAAATATATGTAAGTATAGTATGGATAAGGTATAAAGGCATATTTAGTACTCTTGAAACATTATGGAAAGATGCTGGATTCTAAAATGCCTTTATTTTAATGGAGAAATTGTGTTCACAGGTGTATATTAAGTGCTGGAAAGATTCAACTCATGTCAGCCATTACATGAAATACCGGACAGAGTATGAAGAGGAAGTGGCTGCATTTTTAGAGCGCATTGGAATAATCGAGCCAACCAGACAACGTGCTTCATCCTGCTGAAGAGCCAAGGGTCATTTTTATTGACAGTTTTATTGGTATTGTAGAATAGCATAGATAAATTTTATGCAATATACTGAACTTTATTTTATTTTTATTTATTTATTTATAATACATGTTTTTAAACAAGGTAGTATAGAATAAAATAGCCAATATACATTAATGCAAGGGCTAGTTACTGCATCACAAATATACATGTATTAAAAGATGTGTACCATAACTGATGACTGGGGAAAAAATATGCATCTGTGACAAAAGAAATTACATGCACTGTCTTGTGTAACTGATAGGTGTTTACATATACAGTATATATATACATTTGTTAAATTCGTGCATATATGCAAACATTACACAGTCTTTGCATGGATGTCACGGCTGCAGGATCTCGCCAGCACTTTGTATATGATGAAGATCAGTTATGAACTGTCTCTTGAAAAGTTCCTGCCTTGGTGTTAGTATATGTAAACAAATTGTTTTCATGTTAAATGGTATATACAGGATCATTTTCCTAATCATTCAGCATGACAAACTAGTCAAGATACCTGTACGAGACAGTAGTTTTATGGAGGAGTTTAATGGAATATGAGTGAGAGTATCCAAGGTGCAGTATAAATTTTACTTTGATCTCAAGTTGTAATTTATAATACTTTAAATTTTCCAAATGAGAGGCTTGTATAAATACTTTTGTATTTGTAGAGAAGAAATGCTTGTGGCCAGATATTTGTAACTACAGCTATTATTAGCAGTCTATTAGCTACTTCAAAGCAGTAGGTATTAAGTAGAATACAAACATGTTTGTTATTCTGAAATTTTTAAGTACTCTAAACAAATTCATTAAATGAGAAGTTGAAGGATGCCTTTAAAAATAAGAAGTATTTGAAGCAAACAATTTATATTAGAATTACTACTGTGCTGTAAGTCATTTTTTAATGTTAATAAAATAGTATATATTGTATGCATGAATATTAAATCACTACAGTTCCTCATCTGCAGTGACTTTATAAAAAACTTAAAAGTTCTTTCTAAGAGCAAGAAATTTCTTTTGAGCGAGACTGGCACGTATTAAAAAAAAATGTTGTACATATTAAATATGCAAAGTTTTATAAATACATTTTGTAATTCACACTATATTATGACAAACACCATCACTCAAGCCATCATAAAAGTTTACATAATATTGAAAGATCTATTACCCCTTTCTCTTTTCATTAATATATATATAATAATACTGTAGTACAGTACTGTAATTTAAATATAAAGCCTCATAGGCCACCTTTCATGTGCATTATGATATCATTATTTTGCAAAGAATGTAAACATCTCTCGAACTGAAGTAGTATATAAACACCTAAAAAATGCTCTAATTAAAGGTTGATAATTTATAGATAATTGGCATTGTTATTTGTAAACTATCTAGCGCCCTCTGATTATTTTGCGTCTTTGATGGTGCTACATAGCCTTCCCGGTTTGGTGCCTTCTTTTGATAATTACTTACTTGTAAACTATCTATTCTATATTTGGTTGATCATATAATTTTTTCTGAAACCTATCAGTTTTAAGACTAGGCAATGATTAGATCTTATATGTATAAAAGGGATATTAAATGGGGCACTGTGTGAACATTGTGTGTTGAGTGTTGGGTTCTCTTACACTTGAGGGCCCAATACTCAGGTCCTCAAGGGTAAAATTTTCATATATTGCCCATAAAATGCCATATTACATAACTGTAAATGTGTAACACTGTAAGCTAGCCTTTGTCCTTGTGTTTGTAGATAATTCATTGTATTGTACTGAAGAAATGAAAGGCACTAAACAGAATTACTGTATCTTTAAACAGAAAATGACATATTTATTGCAGTACTGGAAGTTATTGTATGGTGAGAATGACATTGTAAACTGATAGGCAGTTTGCCTGTGGTTTACTTGTTATAGTTTGTATTTACCTCATATTTTATATTTTCATATATATTTTTCTCCATTCACATGTAATCTCATTACTGTCACATTTTATTGTATTTAACCACCAAAAACCAGTGATGCTTCCTGATGAGAGTAGCATAACCAAATGTCCACAACTCTTGGACTACCATGTCACCAAGGGTCTGCTGATCTTGCACTACCACTCTCGCGGTCACCTGTCCCTCAATAGAATTCTTGGTGACTCGGATACTTTTGATATCGTTCGCCTTATGTGTTTTTGTTCTCGTATTGGCATCCTTGGTGATATTTAGCGCCCTCTGATTATTTTGCGCATTTGATGGTGCTACATAGCCTTCCCGGTTTGGTGCCTTCTTTTGATAATTACTTACTTGCACTACCACTAGCAAGGCCACCAAGGGTCCACCGATCTTAAAACACCCCATCATAACCATATTGAACTTGAGGAAATAGGTTTCATTCTCAGTAATTTTTTGGTGGTACTGTATTATAAATTTTCCATATGCATGTCTTATTTCTATATACCTCGATACAGTAGAACCTCAATACTCAAACAGTCCCCCACTTGAACGCTGTGTTAATGTTTGATACTCAAACATAAACGTGCATCCTATATAAGTCGATTTCCCAGTAGCTTTCATTCAGTGTACAACACCACTAGACTTCTCTAAACTTTAGTGTTTTCTATATTTTTTTACATTCTTAGTGTAAATAAGTTATCATCCTCTTGATGGTACGTGCAATTTGCACGAGTAAATAACTCAACATGGCACTTAAGAAAGTTAGTAAAAGTAGTGATAAGAGCCAAGCAAAACAGAAAAATTTGTTTGAACCATGATTGAGATAAAAAGAACGCGTAGAGCAAAATATGAAAGTTGGTGCGTGCGAGTCTGCTATTGCTACAGAGTTTGGTATGCCTAAATCTAGTTCTCTAATAAAAGAAATGGAAAATGGGGGAAAATGTAAAGTGTCTTAAGAGGGAAACTGAAAAATACAAGAGAGAGAATCCCCAGACACACAATTGCCTGAAGTTGTAATGCTAGGGGATCCCCTGCCAAAGAATAATCTCTCTTCCTCACCATCTTCCACAATGCCACCAACTCTTAAGTGCAGGTAAAGTGCACACACTATTTACATTTATTTCATTTATTTATTGAATTAATATATTAATTATTGTGGTCTGGAATGGATTAATTCGACTTACATTATTCCTTATGGAAAAAAAAATGTTCGGTACTAGACCTGATTGGCACTCAACCGTCCGTCGGGAACCAATTACCGGTAAGTTTGAGTTCCGAGGTTCCATTTAATTTATCAGCATTCCATGTGTAATTTGTTAAACAGCTATATACACAACTCCATGAGATATGCAGTGTTCTCTAATACTTGTAATGTTTTGCAGTTTCTTTGTACAGTACTGTACTTTATAAATTTGTTTGTTAACATGATACAGAATGGCAGGGCAACAGGGTTATGGAAACTTTCCTGACAAGTTTTCTTTACAATTCTATAGGATTATTCTAATTTGAATCACAATTTTGCCCAATGTTGCATTTAAGTAAGTAAATATTATTATACTGTATTTGATGATTATATTCAAATAAAAAATCCAGTCCAGAGCCTAACTTATTAATAATAATAATGCAAAGCGTGACTAATAATGTTTATGGCTCTTGACTATCCTGAATTGTCAACATTAATAGGAAGTACATTCAATTATTCAGCCCTGTTTTAAATGTTTCACAATGACAGACATTATTATTTTAATGACATTGTAAAGTTGCTATTAATGCTTTGAATTAAAGGGACCTTTTCAAAACAATAAATTATGTTTCTGAATTATCCTTAGGCAAATTTTTTTTTTGTCATTAAGCATTTCATCAATAAAAGTGATAACTTTAGGAAATTGTTTATCTTTGTACTGTAAACAATAATGGATTAATTGTTGAGTCAGTCTATACAATGCTCTGACATTATATGTGGTTATCTCGAGATGATTTCGGGGCTTTTTAGTGTCCCTGCGGCCCGGTCCTTGACCAGGCCTCCACCCCAAGGAAGCAGCCCATAGCAGCTAACTAACTCCCAGGTACCTATTTACTGCTAGGTGAACAAGGGTGAAAGAAACTTTGGCCATTTGTTTCCGCCTCCACCAGGGATCGAACCCGGAACCTCAGGAGTATGAATCCAGAGTGCTGTCCACTCAGCTGTCAGGCACCTGTCAGACCATATCATTGACAGAGCTTTGCAGCACAATTTGTGAAGATGGCAGCAGGAGCATAAGGCTTCAAAAGGACAGAGGACTGCCCCATGGAGTATTGCACTCCAGCAACTGCCCTCCACGCCCCCTCACGACGACAACGGGCTGGAAAGGGAGGGAGACTGTACTAAATCATTGTCCCTCGTTATTTCAAATTTTATGACAATTCCTGATGGTGGAGTTTTTTCTGAAACTTTTTTCTATAGAATTTGCTTTATGAAATGATTAGCTCCTGGAGCACATTCCTTTCCAACACCAGGGTACAGTTATATTACTACTAAGGAATTTCCTTGAAGTTTAAGATCTGGGATAAGAATGATATTTAGAGTTTGCTTTCTGGGGGTATTGATCCACTGAGGTGCTTGGTTGCAAGAACCATTTGTTAATGTGTCTCACAAAAGTGTCTGGGTTCTTATTAGTGTAGCAACCTGTCTCCAATGTTATTACAACAGAAGGTTCCATATACAGTATAAATATATTCTTTGGGGATATTAACATTCAGACTTCTAATTAATAATTTATTTCAAGCATATATACAGTTGATAAGCCAAGTCAAATTTGCTTTTACTTATTTCTTGTTACCTTGTCTCCACATAACTGAAAAACCATTTACTCTATTATAAATATTTGAGAGAAGCTCCAATGACTTCTTGGGCATTACTTCATTCTTTGATATCCTAATCATCACAGTTTGATTCATAAAATCTGAAATAAGTGTTTATACTGGAATGACATAATGAATCGTTTTTTTTTAAGTTTCAATATCATCAGTTATTTCACTAATACTGTGCAAGCCCCCTTCACCTGAAATGTATTTGACCAAGTAGAAATCATTTATACTACATAATGTTATTTGAAAGAATTTATCAACAAAGAGGTTTTCCTTGCACACATGGGGCAGATCAATTATTTGTAGATTAAACAAATGTGTGCAATATAAACTATTTTGTAGAACGTCGGGTTCTTTTGTTCCAAGAAAAATTGGCGCCATAGTTTTTGACACGTGGAGGTTTGACAGGGGCCTCTTCAGTTGACCATGCCCAGCCATTCTTTTCACAAAATGCAATGGCATCCTCCCGAGATGAAAAGTCAACCTGTAATGTGTATTGATTGGTAAGTATATGCACTGGTTTATCTTTGTATTTCAATATTTTAAATCAATAAAAAGTGCACCCAATAATCCATTTCCATATTTGAAATATGAAACCAAGAATGTTAGTGAAATACAATAGACTCCTGGTTCCGAGTGAGGGAATTTAACATAGGTTACATGTACACACAGAAATCACAATTGCGTGAGGCAGCAAATGAACAAATCCACAAGGGTTGTGACGAGGATTCGAACCTGCGTCCAAGAGCATCCAAGACGCAGGTTCGAATCCTCGTCACGGCCCTTGTGGATTTGTTCATAGGTTATATGTAAGCATGTAAAGTAATTCTTAAGCCAGGAAGACCATGTAGCACTGTCACAGACTACCTTTTATGTGTGATGAAAATCGAGACCATTTATCACTGACATGCATCACCATTTTATATATTTGATCCAAGTAATTTTCCAATACAGGTATTTTGAAATTGAATTACACACCAAGGCATCATCAGTACACCTAGCTAAAAAAAAAATTATGAAGCATTGGTGCATCTTGAGAAAGTGAAATGTCAAGATTGAAATTCAATGTTTGTGCATTTAAAGCAATTGTTAAGTTAATTCATTATGAACCCCCATACCCATCCTGTGAGTGGTAGTGGAAATATTTTAAATGTACACTGGGCTTAGGAACTGTCCCCTAATATGTTTAACATTGCAATTTTCTGTATGGATGAACATGATAAAATCAATTATAGCTATGAGGAGGATTCAAACCTGCACCCTGGGTAGACCCAAGTGCATGCTTTAAAATCCTGCCATAAATCCTCAGCATGGCTCCAATTGACTCTTATTGATATTGACTCTCTCATTAACATGTATCAATGTGATTTTTGTTTTATTTATGAACATGTTACAATATTAGTACAGTATATAAATCAAAAGTGTTTACTGCCATGTATATTTGGCTCAATAAGCTAACTATGCTCAATTAAAACTGTTGTTTACATGCTAACAAGCTCTATAAATATTTTATCACTGCTGTAATTTTCTTAGCTATTCAAATATTGGTGCTCAGTTCCTCAGCTCATTATGTACCTCTGTAGCCTTTAATATTGTACCATTTATTATTAAAAATTGCAAGCGTATTATTAAATAGAATTTTAGATAATTAATTTACATCCAAAGTGTGCCAAGAGAAATTCCATGTACAGTGTACACTAAACACACAAAAATATGACATTTGGATCTGTCCTATAGGCAATTACTGTATTATGAAATACAACCTTTCCTCCTCTAATGTACGGCTTTATTATGCAAATGTTCCATCTACTGTATTTTTATTTTACTTAAAGAATATAACAGTACAGTACTGGTCAATTCTCTTCATGGCTGATTAACATTAGGTTTTTGATATCAGAAGATTTTACTAACTAATGACTAGTCATAACAGCTTTTGAAATACAATATTGTGCAGTACTAAAAATGCTTAGTCAGTAATTTACAAAGTGGAACAAGACCATTGCTCTTGACAATTTGATCTCTAAACTGTAAAATCTTTAGAATGAAAAGGAACCAAACAAATACTTTTGGTGAAAAATGCCTGCCTGCTTATCAGTTAGGAAGACTGAAGGATAAACTGAGTAATGCTGACTGGCTCACCTGAACATTGGACAGTGGGTCTGCTGATGAGGCCCATCCCATAAGGGGGTTTTCCCAACGCTCACGTTGATCAAATGTAATACACCACCTGAAAATATATTACGCTATAATTAGCTTTTTTTGTAGATTGTAAATCTAGTAAATCTAGTTTAGTACAATCTAGTTTTTTACTAGATTGTACACTAGATTGTCATTGGTAAAGTGGGTTAAACAAATGTGTTCATTTAATAAGAATACATTTGCAAACCTTTAAATGTAAAATATTTTCACAAAATAATAAAAAGTGCAGTGCTACCTTACCCTTTCCCCAACCCCCTTTGATTTACTTCATGTGTCCAGACTCTGATACATGTGTTACTGCTCACCACTCATTTACCCTTTAGTTTGTATCATTAGAATCCATTTATTTATCTTATCAATTGCTCTTTCAATTACCCAGTCAAGCACGTCCTTCATTCTCCAGTCAAATTATGCATACAACAGCATTTGGCAATATGCCATTACTGTATTATAAAAAATTGGCTGATAAGGATAAAGGCAAAAATGCTATTGCACTATTTCACTGGCATAACAAAAGTAGTTTCTAAATGTCACTAACTTTTTTAGGTTATTGGTGCCAGATTGCATGCTATTCTTGGAAGGCATCTTGATCAACACGTGCCGAGTTTTTATGTGCTCTTCTGGTACACCAGAGATTGCTGTAATATCAACCTGAAATATAAATTGCATTATACCGTGTTCTAGTGATCACAAAGTAAAAAATACAAACACTAGTTCCCTTGCATAGTTATTGGGAATAATAAAATTGAATTAATTGGTTATCCTAATTAACCTTGAATTAATCAAAGTAGATAATGTTTCTTGACCTTACCAATTAGATGTTAACCCTTGCACTGCTCTCACCTATTTTCGGCAAAAACGTCTTGGTGCAATTGTCAAGGACATATTTTTGTTATTTTTACAAATGTTCAGGTAAATTTAATGTCAAAATGTTTCCAAAGTCAACTATTTCCATTTCAAAACACAAATAGTAATGAAAACATTAAAAAACATTAAAATATAGCCAAATTAAAAAACAAAAAGCACAACTCTCTGAGCGCCTAAAGGCGCTTTGCGCAGTGCAGTGGTTAAACTGCCTTAATCTAGAATATGTTGAAAATAACCTAAACAATCTCGATTTGCATTTATCTATTGAGTTACATACCACATCCTTTCTAATACAATTAAAAGAAGCATTTTCCATATTAATTGTGATATCTACAAATATCTTAAAGATATTATCACTTTATAAATTTCCATTTGTTCCTGTTGTAGAGTTTATTATGATTTGCAATTTCCTCCTTATACCTTTGATTTGTGTTATTTCAGATATCATGTAGGGAACCAAATAGACTAGTAGCCCTCAGGTAAATTCAGGTAAAATAAAAATACAAAGTAAAAATCTTTAAATATACAGTAGATACTGTATAGCATTGTTTAGATTTGAGGGCGATGGTGAATAATGCTTCCACTGGGTCTGAGGTCAGAGGCCTGATTGAGTCAAGGAAATTACAGTCTATAAGAACTTTAAAATTTTATACAATCTTGGGTTCAATAAAGCCATTGCCTAGCCGTGAATTTGATTTTAACTCTACTGGGTCTCTGTATAAAACAACAGTTTTCAAAATGAGGGACGGGGGGGGGGGGGATGAGATCTTCGAGAAGCTACCCCAGTCGTGCCCACTAAATAAATGGTGGCACTCGGGAAAGTTACCTGAACTCTCCCAACACATCGATTTCAGAGGAATGTTTTAGCATTTCTATCACAGTGCATCATACTATCCTCGATAAAACTTCTCTCAACACAGCTACTCCCAGAGATCTTCCTCTCGTTCGTCTCTTCCTTTATAGGGCAGTACAATTTCCTGTAACCATACTAGTATATATGAACAAAGTTACATAAACAATGCTCACTGGAGTATCAATGGTGATGTAGCCAGCAAGAGCCTTCTGGTGCTGGACCTCCTCATGGCTGAGGAGCGTCTTACGGGTGTCCAGAGGTTCCACCTGCTTCACGTTCAGGTCATCCACCCATCTTGCTGCTGATGTGCTCACAGCTCGTCTGGGGAAATACACAACTTTCACATACTATACTGTAGTGTCATATAGTACAATACTTCTATTTATGTAGCATCCTAACAGAAGACCGTCACTGGAGATGTCAAGCTCACAAAAATGCTATTAAAATTTATGTTCAATACAAAAAAAATTTATGTTTTGACTAAAACTGATCCAGGCCATCATATATCAGGATACAAGAAAAATTATCCAATGAGTACAGGGGTGCTGTACTGGGTATAGAATAATATCTAACATTCAAATTTCTTAAGTCACTGCACATCCTCTCATGTGTACTCTATATATTTAAAACTCTGAACTGTAATGTCACTCCTGACCTTAAATGCTTCCTAGAAGGTTGTAACAGAACCCATGGGCTCCACACCAGAAACAAATACCCATTTGATATTCCAAGAGTGCCTTAAAACAACTAGAAATGGTCTACAAATCAAGGGACCTAGAATGTGGAATGACCTTCCCAATCATGTCAAATTCATGCCTTTCAACCAGTTTAAGAGAAAAACTAAGTACTACCTAATAAACTCCATGTAACCTACCTTACCCCCTAAATGTCAACCCATGTCTTGTTATTTTCAAACAATACTGTTTGTTGATCAACTTGTATAATTGCTGATTTCTGCCATGTTCCCCCCCCCCTTTTTTTTCCAACACAATTTACACTTTAATCTCAATTAGTACTGTATTTAGCTTTAGTCTAAGTGGTGGTGTTTCCCCCCCCTCCCCACACCTTGCCCGAAACACTGTGCGTATTAGTGGCTTTAGGTATTGTATGTACTAGCTCTATCTATAAATCCAACATGTTTGTAACTCATCCTTTATGTATGTAATCCTTTATGTATGTACTTTTACCTGAATAAACATTTAGATTTTTTATTTTGAGAAATATAATGGACTTTCGTTGCAAGTTAGAGGTTGGAGGGTTGGTCGTGTTTCGTGGAAGTCGTCCCTCTACCAAGTGTGTTCTCCCTCACCCATGTATATCCACCTGATGTATCTGCTCTCAATCTCTCACTGTATCTCTCACACCTCAACAAAGCTTATCTACACCAGAGAGTAGCCGAGTGTTTGCCCTCTGCAATATGGTATCTTCAGGCAACCAAATTAGAAAAAGAGTAAATATCCCAAAAGGAATCCACAAGGAAATAGCAGTTAGGTTATATAGACTACATCTAGGTCACAGATGCGACTGGGAGATTGGTGAACCCCGACAGAGAGAATGCAATTTCTGCCAAACTGTCACAGAAAAGCCACTACTTCACTATCACCTGGAATATGAAGCAACTAACGACCATAGAAGAGCTTTAAGAGTCCCCGTATCTTGCAGTAATCACCCTGAAGCCATCAACACTACCACTCTTCTGTTCAAAAAAGGTGTCCAGCAGCTAGACACTCTCATAAAGACTGTCAAGCAGTATCCTCCCCCCCGCGATAGCAGCTTGACGATTAAATGCGACCTCAGAACACTGAAAAAGATTTACTGAACAAAAAATTGTACCACTTACGGGCTATTCATGCCCGTGCCACCTCTTGGGTGGCTTAATCTTTATTAATCAATCAATCCGCTCTCAGAGTGCGCGCACACTCCATACTCAATCCCTCACCCGTGTGGTCGAGCAGCTCGTGATAGTTGAGAGAGAATTAGAGCTCCAGCTCGGCCCGCCATCCTACCACAACAGTGAACAGCTGACCGACCAAGCCGGCAAGATGGTTCCTGTCTACACATACCTCACATATCCCTACAAAATATTATCACTCATATTCTTATTGCCACGCCCACTAAGATTAAGTAATCTGGTAATGATATACAATTTTATTTACAGGGTACCTTGTCCATATAAATAAATGAATTATATTGTTCCAATTATTATCACGGTCCTAGAATATATGAAGACTAGAGGGAACATGACGTCATGAGTGTTGTACAGGAAAGTCAACATTACTCACAAATATTGTGCTCATTTCAAACTGTGTATGGAGTCTGCCTCCACCACACGCAGACTCCATACACAGTTGCAAATGATGATATAATAGAGCCCAATAGACTCAGGAATCTGTACACCAGTTGATTGATAATTGATAGGCGGGACCAAAGCAGTCTCCGTGGTGTAGTGGTAAGACACTCGCCTGGCGTTCCGCGAGCGCTATGTCATGGGTTCGTATCCTGGCCGGGGAGGATTTACTGGGCGCAATTCCTTAACTGTAGCCTCTGTTTAACGCAACAGTAAAATGTGTACTTGGATGAAAAAACGATTCTTCGCGGCAGGGGATCGTATTCCAGGGACCTGCCCGAAACGCTACGCGTACTAGTGGCTGTACAAGAATGTAACAACTCTTGTATATATCTCAAAAAAAAAAAAAAAGAGCCGAAGGTCAAACCCCGAAAGCACAACTTGGTGAGTACAACTGGGTGAGTACATCTCTTCCTAATGCATTTGTTAACTTCCCTAACATTGAAAAGGTTATTTCTAATGGCTCATTTGGGTACTATATTTCTACCTATGTCCCTCTTGTGCATGTTCCACCTGAACAAGTACAAGTACAAAGATACAGGATAAGATACCCGTTGGGTGAGCCTTGGAGTGGGGACAGCTGAGGAGAAGTCGGTGAGAGGAAACGCTGAAGTTGTAGAACAAGAGCCAGGACTAAACCCAGCTGCGTGTCTGGAAGCGATGCTGGAACAACCCCACAACAGGCTAGGCCTTGAGTCGGGTCAGGAAAAGGCGGCAGTGCCAGTGCTTCTTTTTTCTAGATAGTGACATTCTGTCTTCTGGTGGTGGCTTCATTTTTGTCTTCTTTCTTCAATCTTCGTCGTCTTCTTTCTTCTATCTTCTTCGTCGTCTTCCTTTTTTTATCTTCTTCGTCGTCTTCCTTCTTCTATTTTCTTCGTCGTCTTCTTTCTTCTATCTTTTTCGTCGTGGATTCGTCGCACTCAGCAATGATGGTAAGTGCAGGAACATATACATCCTTTAGACGCCATCTGGGTCTTGTTAGTAGTGAACTTCATAGCATTTGTAGATGCAGCTTGAAATTCTTCTGAATTCTGGAGATCCACAGATTATTACGTTGCAGATACAGATCATTTACCTCTGGTGGGTTGGGTATCGACATCCCGGTATCGGAAGGCGAGTAATCTTCTATATCCTCAGAGGCAGTAGTCATAATCAGAACACAGGTGGAGGTCTGCAGAAGCCTCTGATCTTGGCGCCGATGAAGCTGGTGTAGTCACAGGTACGACTGGAGTAGTAGGTGGTTGGTCTGGAGTCGGAGCCGATGATGCTGGTGTAGTTTCATGAACTTCTGGAGTAGCAGCTGGTGGTTGTTCTGGAGTGGCAGTGTACATGGGTGGTGTGGGAGCAAACGAGGGAGGTTGGTAAGCGCTGTAACAGGTTGCATAGGGTGGGCGTCAGCAGATCTGCAAGTGCAGTTGCAGAGATAGTGACGCTAGAAGTGGTAGCAGTGGCTGAAGCTGGTGGTGGCTGTGGCTGAAGCTGTAGTCGTGAGAAGTTCCTTTGAAACAGTAAATGTTGGGAGGGCATTTGCAACGCAGAGTTTATTGAGACTTCGAACGAATTCCTTGTAGTTTGTGCCTGTTATCATTTCGGCCAGGTGCGTAAGTGCGAAGACGGTACTATTAACAATGTTGGGAGCCGGCAGCTGGTGTAGTGAAGGCTGGCTTGATGATTGACCAGAAGCAGGTGGTGGTGGTGGTGGCTAAGTTGATGATGGTTGGGAGCTTGGGCTCCCAGGGCCCAAGAAAAAGGGAAAGAAAGTAGTCTGCTACTTTCGATAAGTAGTAGTAAAAAGTACTACTACTTTCGACAAGTAGTAGTAGAAAGTACTACTACTTTAGAAAGTAGTAGTAGAGAATGACATAGCTGTTCTAGAGAAGGTGCAACACAGGGTAACAAAAATCATACCAGAGCTTAATAGTCATCTCCCATAGAAGGAACGGTTGAAGGCCACTGGGCTAACAACACTGCAAACCAGGTATGACAGGGCGGATCTCACCGAAACCTTTAAAATACTGAACAATTTGAAGGATGTCGATCCGGACAATTTCTTCAGAAGGTCAAATGTAACCCGTGGAACTACTTACCCCCTGAACTGGAAAAGATCACCAGGGCAAATGGGGGGACCTTTGACAAGCCGCCGGCTTCCTGTCTTCATCGAGACCATTAATCCGTCTATCCCGAGACACGAGGTTATTTTCTTATATTTTAATACGAATTTGCTTTGTATACAAAAAATAAAAGAATATTTGTCCAGTTTATACAATTGAGTACTTAAAATATAACTAAGTCTCTCCAATACTAACTAACAAAGAAAATGTAAATATTGATAACATCACAAGCGAGCATCTGGCGTGTCAAAACAACTCTTTGGCAAGACTTCTGCTGGCCTCAGACGACTGCCCGATATATGGAAACCTTCACCACCTTCTGACCACCGGACACCGTAACGCATTTTGACCATTGGGTCTCGATGCTGCTGTAGGCATTCATCATTAACTACCCAGACTGTGTTCGGCGCCTAGGATCACAGGGAAGTTAATAGATTTTTCTGTTTTCTTGTGAGAGACGGCGTCCTGCGCTGGTTTGGCAGAAAGGTGCTTGACTCTAGGGAGGGCCGATTAGGATTCTGTCATTAGGCCATGACTTTGTTCGACTACCCAGAGTTACAGGAAACCTGACGCTTATCATCTGGAGTCAATGGGCGCCGACAGTCTTCCAACAGGTTGATTGTGTGAGGTCGGGGTCCGTCACTCGTCTCCCTAGGGAACGCCTGTGGTTGCATGCATCTGCAACACAGTGCATTTATCTGCTGGCAGATTAATCTTCCACAGACAACAACAATTAGGTGCAAGTTCTTGCATTTTCCTATCACAGGAAAACTGGTGCACTTCAGGCAGTAGTGCTACAGTATTGTGTTCCCTAAATCAACATCAATACCAACAACTGAACTGGGATATAAAGCTTTTACTCAGACCTCACATATAACAAAGAGATCCTTACCAACAAAAGTGATGGACCACATCATACTACAACTAATGCAGTCATCAGGAGAGAAACTCAGAGTGTCATCACCCATCAGATTGGGACCTTCTGGTTTGACCTCAACACTGGTGAATGTTTGGCTTCTGGGGGTCGCTGGAAGCATAACAAAATACCTGATGAGGTAACATTTTACAAGTCCCATAATTATGCAGAGAGGATGTATTTCTAGTGCTGGGTGAGTATTGTTCTGTAAATAGAAGTGAATGAATGAGAGTAGCTGCAGAGATATGAAAATCACATTTTTATTCTCTTGTTGCGTGGCAAAGCTTTTTGAGGACATGTTGATGAACAGGAGGAAGAGAAAGAAGTGCATCTTGTGGAGCATGGTGGTGTCAGTGTTTTTGATAATGATGTTGGTGGCAGCAGTGAGACATGCTCTATTTGCCTCCCGGATCATTTGCTCCACACACGACATCCTCCACAACCATATCACTCAACTGGTGAGCTGCCTCCAAACTTGTGCATGTTTATGTTCTTCATGTCTTGGAGCACTGTATCACTTTTAATGATAACTTTCCATGTTTAAATGCTGTACAGTAGTTTATAGTAAATGTATCGCATTTTCAATTTAGTATGCACCAACTTGTAGCACTTTGTGGCCTTCTTATCACTCATTTATTTTATTTAAGTTTTGCAAGTGCAGTCAGGTTACTTTATAGGGTATGGTCAGTAACTGGATAGGTGATATCACAGCTAGCATCACCCTAGGTTAGTAGCTAACATATTTCCTGTTCGTAGCAAGAATATATCAGCACAGTACAGTACAGGTATTCTGTACAGTGCATCCCAATCTAATCTACTCTATGCTAACATGATTACATGATTACTCTATGCTAACAATGATTACATGAGGATTATTGATAGCTTTCTAGTTTTTTCTCTCTAGAATACTGTACAGTACTGTTCCAAGTATTGTACTACACTGTAGTACTATATATTAGTACAGTATTCAGTTCTCATTTTGATCATTATGTTTTAAATATATTTATTTATTTATTTATTTATTTATTTATTTATTTATTTATTTATTTATATACAAGAAGGTACATTGGGTTTGTGAGGATACATAGCATGGTATTTACAATCTTGTAAAGCCACTAGCCATATACACTTACTTCTATTATGTAACAAATGTATTGTAAGCTGACTAGAGAAATGCAATGAATAGGCAGGTGGCAGGCAACTTAGAAGTGCAATGTGTTGACCTAATATCAATTGTAATACATTCAGTACACTTATGTATTGTATAAAGTATATTGCACATCATTGGAAAAGGCAAGAACTAAACTTTATTACAGAGTGAAAGTAGAATCTAATTATCCCTTAACTAAAGTTTTGGATAGGAATTTATTAATAAAGGCTGATGGAGCACTTCAGTTTTGTATACAATACTGTTGATAAAACACTTATACATATCTTCTCTTCCACTTCATTCATTTACATTGTTTTAAAATACTATAGTGTTAATTTTTCCTTTTTCTACAGTATTAATATAAAGTCATAAATAATAATTAAGCTCATCGCTGCAAATCCTACAATAATATTAAAAATACTGAATATGCTTGTGTATGCATTCTAATTGGGTCACTACAGTACAGTATTTCATTTGATGACCAGACCACACACTAGAAAGTGAAGGGACGACGACGTTTCGGTCTGTCCTGGACCATTCTCAAGTCGATTGAGAGTGGTCCAGGACTGACCGAAACGTCGTCGTCCCTTCACTTTCTAGTGTGTGGTCTGGTCAACATATTTTATCCACGTTATTGTGACTCATCGTCTGCAGTATTTCACTATAAATTATTCATTGTTGAAAGCAATAGAGGTTGCTGTTTGGATACATAATAAAAAATTTACTTTTCTCTAGCTGCTTGTACAATTTAGGTTACATTGTTCTGTATCCAAATAGTGCAGCACCCAAAGGCCTGTAGAATTACATAAATAAAGCTCCACGAAGTATAATTTGTCAATATTTTATTGGTATTACTGTAATTCCAAAAGATTATCCTGCCTATTTGTACATGATCCTAGTCTTATGATGAACCTAAGGGAGCAACCAAATTATTCCTCTCACAAAGGTACTTTCATGTTGACTTGAAGCCTTATTTTTCCAGTGTGAAGAAGTTGAAAATGATGCCAAACTTCTGCATGGACACACATTATCAGACCAAGAATTGTGTAAGGAGCTGTGTGTTCCTGATGTGCCATCAAGAATAATGTGTCACACGTTCCACCTTAACAAACCAGCAGTGTTCACTTTGAATGGCAGCAGTAAAAAAGTAATTAAATCTGTTATAAAACTGGAGGAACGAGAAGAACCCATTGACGAGACACCCGCTGAACAAGATGAGGTAAGCTATCCCAGATTATGAGTTCAACTTAACTTTTGAAAGTCTTGAAGCATTCATCAACCTTTAAATTCATTATATTATTTAACTAAGTATAAATTGGAGCATTAAAATGATTATATCTTTTCATATGCAGTATAGTCTGGACTGGATTAGAACATGCTGAGGCACTAAGCTATGTTAAGTGTTGACAGTTAAGTTGATTTTCAGTATACTGTATAGGCCTTAGAGTCTTCCCCTCACACATTACTGTTGGTGGTAAAACTCCTATACCACAGCCAGAGTGTATGTGGGTAATGTGTGAAACTCTGACTAGGTTTCAATGGAAGTGCCAGGATCCCTAGAGGATTCAGTTGTATTCCATGTTACATTACTTTTGCATATTGGGATTCAGTGGTTTAAGGCATATGCTTAGGAGTACCAAGTGTGCAGGTTCAAATCCATCTCATGGTTCCTACTGATTTTGTCATTCATTAATCACATCAATGTGCTTTCTTTGTGAGTAAGACTAAAAATATTAATGGACTGAAAACAGCTCCTTATTTCTACCTTACTTTGTAGTGATTTTATTTTTAGAAGGGGACATTATTATACATCATTTCACAGCTACTTTGCATTCTCCCTGACTCTCACATGCGCATACACACAGTTCACTTATGGTTCCCCATTGTCAGGAACTGGAAGCCTGTTAAGCTTATTGCGGTCCCTGTATAGCCTAGAGCCCTTGACTAACTATTGACCTTTCCCAGGATGCAACCCACAACATTTACTTAACTCCCAGATATCCATTTACTTCTAGGAGAACAGTCACATCAGGTGCAAGGAAAGGTTCCTAAACGTCTCTTCTTGAGCTGTAATTAAACCCGAGATCATTCGGGTTTTAAAATACAGTAGAAGAAATGTTGGGACATGATCACTGCATATAAAATAATGACAGGGCTGAAGAAAGTTGACAAAGTTGTTTATTTATAACAGAATGAGAGGACAAGCTCAAGAATCACTGATATATAAAGAACAAAAAGAAATTCATCAGTAATAGAGTAGTTGAGGATGGAACAACCTTCAGGATATAGTTAATGTATACATGCCAAAAATACTGCTAGTTTTATATCTAAATAAAAAAAGAATTATTTAAGAAGACGAGCTGCCACAAACACAGCTCTTCTTGTAACTACAATTAGATAATTCCATACACTTCCACATGCATATCCACACACACACATTCATCACTTGTTTCTTCCATTGATGCATCATATATTTCCATTATACAGTATTGTAATATTTATGTTTGCAAACCTATCTCTCTTTTTTCCCATTACCCACCATGAATAGCCAGTGCCTGCTGTAGTTTAGTCCGCTTGTTTTTGAGCTACTAATAGCCTTAGCATCAAAAGTATCTTTGCTTAGCTTATTCCAATCATGTAATACTGTATTTTATGTTTCTTCAGCTATTTACTTAAATTGTCTCAATTTTTTAATTTATACCCAATGCAACTTTAGTTGTGTTGTGTGTTTCAGGATACATTATAAATATTTTCAACAAGGTAAATTTCTTCCTTCTAGGTGTATTGGAAACTAAAATCTGGCAATCAATACTTCCCAACTAAGGATGACTTGCTAAGCATGGTAAATATATATATTAGTAACTTTGTTGGAAATGATGTTGATAGAGATATCATCAGTAAACTTTTGAATCTGAGTAATTTATACCACTCGGAGACAGAAACACTTGCAAGCCATAGAAATTTTTGGTTCCTAATACAGGATCATGAATTTTTGACATCATATGTTTTTGAAAAGTTGCAACTGTTTCCTAGTGTTTTAGGAACCTGTGGGACTTATTATTCCATGCAGTACCTTCAACCATTAACAGATAATCCATTGCTTCCCTTTGAACTCACTTGGAGAAAAAGATTGTGGAAAGCTTTAGACATTATCAAGTATTTAGGACAACTGGAGACAGTTTGGAGAGAGCCTTTACATTTATGTGATGTGAAACATGATCACTTTGGTTGGAATAATGAAGGAAAAGTAATGTTTCTTGATCTAGATTCTGTTTTGCCTGAAACTTCCCTTTTAAGAACTATGGAGAACACTCCACAATGTGTTGATAATGATGACTGCTCGTACTTCGACTGTAAAGGTCGGTGTCATCATAGGATTTCCAAATGTGAATTGATGCGAACAAATACCAATTTGCAAGTTATCTGTGACAAGATTTTTCTTGGTAATACAGAAGGCTTGTTTTCTCTCTATGGTTTACTAGTTTCACATGAAGCTAATGAGGAGTTAAAAGAAGCACTCGAACTATGCAAAACTAACAAAGGTATGACCGTTGATGGAATGATGGATGTATTAACTAAGGCTTCAAATGCTCTCTTGTATTAAATTTCTTGTCACCTAGCACTTTCTCCTCATAATTTTTTTTATATAGCACAATCAAGGGAACTGGGTTCAGTCTGCGAGCAAGACAGAAATGATTGGGAATGTTTCCTTTCACTTTAAACACCTGTTCACTTAGTAGTAAATAGGTACCCAGGAGTTTAGCAGCTGTTGTGGGTTGCATACCGGTGAAGGTCAGGTGTTGGCCAAGAGGGGACCTCAATAATTCTTAAGTACTGTACAGGCTTCATGTCCCACAACTGAGAATTATATGAAAACTGCAATGATAAAATTTCAGAACTGTACTATATATTTGAGTACAGTATTTGACAATGTGGCTCATTTTGTATTTTTGTTTTCTGATTTACTTGCATGAAGCAAATTATGGGCTTCAGGATATTTTCTATATATTATAGTATATCAGCATTATTAATGGTATTTTAGAGGTTACTAGCATCAGTATCTTGATTTGCAAGAATAAACCATATATAAAAATGGCAAGAGAAATAGATATGTAATGGGCACTTTTGACTGTCTGACCCATCTTTTTTGGGAGAAAATTCATATTAAGAGTACAGTAATTGTTATGAGTCGGTGAACAGCATATGTGTAATGATGTCATCAAATGTATGTGTATGTGGTTTGTGTTTACACTGAGGCTGCTGGCAGTCTTGGCATTTTTTAGTAATATGATAATTTTCATCCAAATAAACAAAACCAAAGATCAATGTTATGCAACATTCTCAAAATCATTTATAGCAGAATCTTATATTATAAATTTACTTAGGCTGAGTACTGTGCTTACATCTTGCTAATTGCTACAAGTGGGGGGCCATTTAATAGACAATAAACAATGTACCGGGAGTACCACCTAGCGGAAGGTACTGGCCTGGCCTCCAGGAAATTAGTTCCCCAAATTTTGTATAAAAAATGGCTGCTCTCCTTCACCATCACCTCTACCCTTCAACACTTTCCTAATTCTTCACCACACTCTCTACCCATCACCACCTTCCCTGTCTTTCAACTCATGTAACCACTACTTTACCTCTCCTTCACCATCCTCCCAACCCTTCACCATCCTCCCATCCCTTTGCCATCCTCCCAACCCTTCACCATCCTCCCATCCCTTCATCCTCCCAGTCCTTCACCATCCTCCCATCCCTTCACCATCCTCCCAGCCCTTCACCAGTCTCCCAACCCTTCACCATCCTCCCAACCCTTTACCATCCTCCCAGCCCTTCACCATCCTCCATATCAATCACCAACTCCCCTATCTTTCATCACATTATCTACTCTTCACAACTTTCCCTACATCACTGTAATCTTAGAGAGAATGGAGGGGAGGGAGGGAATTATCAGGGGAAAGCACCAAGCCATTACAACTATATAGCACTGGGAAGGGATCAGGATAAGAATTTAGGATGGTACGGGGGAAAGGAATGGTGCCCAACCACTTGGATGGTCGGGGATTGAATGCCGACTTGCATGAAGCGAGATTATCACTCTACTGTCCAGCCCAAGTGGTTGGGCTAGTGAGAATGGAGTCTTTTATTTAGTGAGATTGGAAATTAGTATGATTTGCCATTTTGTGCAAAGAGTTAGGACTTGACCCTGAGCTGCCTATGGCCATTCCCAGACAAAGACCAGTCACCTTGCAACGTTTTGTTAGAATAAGCACAAGCATCTGGCCCCCAACTTCGAACAGACATTCTCTTATCTAGATAGATACTGATGTGCACTGATGGTTATCTTGTGCTTAATGAAGGTGTTCAATGATTTTCCTATGTAGTGAATATGTACAATGCTGGTGATTATCGTATATACAATGAAGATATACAATGATGATGATTATCCTGTGTGTGTGTGTGTGTGTGTGTGTGTAGTGAAGATGTACAATGAATGAAATCTTGTTTGTAGTAAAGATGTTTTCTAGTTATTTTTAACATATTACCATGTGATGGCATGTTTTGCATTGAATTCTAATGCACCAGGAAAATTAAAAGGCACTTAATAAGTAGCAAAGCCATATCCTATAGCATCTATCAGTAAAATTTAAAATTGTTTAGGTCATAAGCTTTTGATTTAGAGACACTGAGGCTTTGAGAAATGCAGGGTGGGAACATAAATTTAAAATTACATTACTAAACATCTCAGTGGATGGTTTTGTGCTGTTTGTAGTTTTGATATACTGTACAGTATATAAACCAGTCATACTTGATTTTTATCACTAATATGTAATTGTGGCTTGTGTATATGTATTCAATTTTTTTTATTCAAATACTGAATTTACATGCTTTTTCCTGGCATGTAAATATATACAGTACAGTGAAAACCAGCTCGATAGAATGATTTGTTCCAGATCTCATCTGTTGCATTTTATCTTTCACAGTACAATGAAACCTCAGTTTTCGAATGCCCGTTTTCCAATTTTTCTGTTCTTGAGCTCAATTTATTCAAAAAATTCAACTCTGTACTCGAGGTTTGCCTCGGTGCTCGAGTTAGTTGAATCGGCCCATACACATATGGGCCGATATACTTGTACATACTGTAGTACAAAATATAAGTGGTAGTATGTATAAAATGTATTTTTAAGTTAACATTTTTAGGGGTGTGGAATGGATTCATTCAATTTACATTATTTCTTATGGGAAAATTCGTTTCAGTTTCGAATTTTTGGTTTTCGAGGTTTCTCTGGGAACGGATTAAATTAAAAAGAAACAATTCATGCCCGAAATGCTTTGCGTAATAGTGGCTTTAGGCATTGTATGTACTAGCCCTATCTATAAATCCATCACTCTTTGTAAAATCTCTTGTATGTATGTACCTTACCTAAATAAACATTTGATTTGATTGATTTTATTTTTGAAAAAACGGAGGTACCAATGTACAGTACAGTATATTATTTAGTACAAACAAGAAATTATTTTCTTTTGTGAATTGTAGATATTTTGATACCAAAATAATGTGGAAAAGTGTAATTTTAATATATAAATGATGTTTTGATGAATTTCTTACTCTATTCTAGTCCAGCATATGCATAGTTTGATTCACCTGAATCCTTCCATTCTTCTTTTGTTGTTGCAAACAATTGATGTGTTATACAATAGTATTTATGCTGGTCGGCCCTAGTCATAACCTTTAATACTATTAAGAATTAAAAAAAAATTCATTCTACATACAGCATCTGTCTGTTTGTCTGTGCATTACAAATGCTGTGTTCCCTGTAGGAACTCTATTTTTGTAGAGGTGGCCGTATGGGGAATCTTCCTCGGGTATTTCACATAGTTTGTTGTTTGGTAATAAAACTGTAACAAGTTTGTCATACTATCTTTTCACATATGACTACACCAGTAGCTATATACACCAGTAGCCATATGTGGTGTAAAATTATTTTGGCAATACAGTACAGTACCTCTATTTGTAATACAACACTGTATTTTGGTTAAAACAAATTTGTTAACTGTTTTTTGTACTGTATTATCAATCGCTCATCAATAAAAAATAGCAAGCTACTGGATGAACAGTTGAGTTGATGAAAGATTTGATAATACTGTACAAGTATTTAATATAAGTATGTAATACAAGTGCAGTATTTAATACAAGTATTTAATGCAAGTATTTAATGCAGATATTTAAGCTCATTAAAGGGCATGACAATCTTGACCTTGAAAAATTCTTGAATTTTTTATTTTCTATCACCACTTGAAACAATGGCATTAAAATTAAAGGTAAATAGTTTCACTCAAACAATATCAAATTTTCTTTTCTTTAATTAAATATTTAACATATAGAATAGCTAAACAAATAATTCAGTTTAATTCCAGGAATACATTTCAAAATAGAATTGACAAGTACATCTCCTCTAATCCACACATTGTGCCACCATAAGCTTTTCATAAATAGCCTTGTTTGAATTTATTTATAAAAATTATACATTTTACCAACACTTCATGCTGCATGTTATGCATAATAGTTTTTGACATCCATGTTTGTCATTAAATTTTCATTATTTTCTGATAACACAATATTAACTTGTATCACTAAAAACTGTATGACTCGTCGAGGATTCGAACCTGAACAGCCCATGGGTCATGCCGTCTGTGTCTGAATCCTCCAGAGGTCATGGAGTTTATAGTGATTTACAGCTTTGGGACCATTTATAGCTTGAGGACCATTCTAGTTTTGTCTCATTAACTTGTATATATGTTATATCAGTGCTCTCGCTTATACTACTTATATAGAATCCTAAACTATTGTTTCACTACCATACAGGGGGGGAAGGGGAACAAAAATCCCCTAAAGTCCCCTACTCTGCACTGAATACTCTATATTTACCAATCCTCTAGGAACAAATATTTTTTAGAGCTATCGTATACCACTCAGTTTCTTCCTTTTGCAAGATCCTGCGTGTTTCCTGAGCAGCATCATGCAGCCAAGGCAGATCAGCATTCCACACTGGCATTACAGGAGCTACCACTACCTTGGTATTGTACCAAGTAGCACTCTCATTAAATGCTAGTTGACCCACCTCGTTGCTACCTAAGATTGCCACTAATTGGCAGCACCAATACATAAACAGAATTTCCTGTCTCCAGCCCACCTTATATTCTATTTGACTTGTTTCACATGCTTTATCAGCTTTCAAAGAACAACACCTCAGTTAAGTGATTTGTGTTTGTGTTTATCCCTAGAAACTTTCATTTTGCGGTGCAGTTGGCTAATGCTCTTAGAGAACCTTGTACTTATTTGTCATCTGGGTCTCTGAGTTGAATAACCATTCCATGGTGCTTTGTGCTAAAGCTTGGCTTTCCCAATAGATGTTTAGGTTGGCCAGTCTTAGTCAAATACGAATACCTGTGGATGATTCTGAAGATCAATATCCCCACAGCCTGGTTTCTAACCAGGTCTCCTGGTTGGTGGTCTGGTCAACCACGCAGTTCAACGTAGTTGCTCATAGCCTGACGTATGAGTCACAGCCTGGTCGATCAGGTATCCTTTGAAGGTGTTTATCAAGTTCTCTTTTGAACACTCCGAAAGGTCAGCCAGTTATGCCCCATATGTGTAGAGGGAGAATGTTGAAAAGACTTGGTTTTATTTCCTTGTAAAAACTTGAAGTAGTATGCCACCAGGCATTATTTTCCACACTCTCCTGGTGTGACATAAAGCTCAATATGTTGTTTAAAACTTTGCCTGGCTCAGCAGGCCACCTTCATCGCACCTCAAAGTAGGCTGGGCATTGCCCCATGAGTGCACAACTAAATGTTAAACTCTTTCACTAACAATGTTTATACATACTAATAAGAATGAGCAAAAATTAATTGTTGATGGAATTGTTGTCATGCCCCGAACTGCGTGTATTGTTTTAATGACTGTGTGAACGTCATCACAACGCCAAGGTGTTGGATTACACCATGTATTTGGGTCCTGGGAACAAGGCATTGCCCTGTGCTGCTATTATCCAGATTACCATCTGTATTATCTGTGATGAATCTGGGTGCCTGGATAAGGGGCTTCCTGATAGATGAAGAGCAATTTATAATACTGCACTTCCATTTGGCACCACTCTGCAACATAGGCAAATCAAGCTGCTTTTTTTGTGTTTATTCATTGTCTTTAATCTTCTGGTCTGATTCTTTCTTAATGCAGCAGCTGAGTGGTATAAAGTTCTATTATTTATTATGAAGTAACAAAATGCATACAATTGCATATATTCTGCTTATATATTCCAACTATTTAGAGTATTTAGTACTAGTTAAACCAAAGTTTTTAGATATTTTGTATGGACCATCTGTATATAGGTGTAGAAATGATGTATTGTAAGTTATTTGCACTCACTTGTCAGACAAAATTGTAATAAAGTGATAGTATATGCTAGTTGCCAGGATATTAATGCTGATCCTAATGATACAATATATATAAGATGCTCTTGGATTTTGTAATATTTTCTTGTTACTGTTACAGGTATATTTATCTTTTTTTTAGTTTATATAGATTTCCTTGATTCAGATACAGTATGACAAAAATCTGCAAAGATGTAAATTAATTATTAAATATGATGTATTTTATTGTCAAAAAGTGTTAGTTTTACCTCTTAATCACATATGGTTGAGAAAAGATAGTACAGTATTTGAGGAGATGCATGGAAATCAGTCAATATTTTATTCTCTGGAAGCCTGTCAACTCATTCTTTGCAGGAAAAGAAGGCAGCTACAAACAAACTGGCTACCAGGGCCAAAAGGAATTGACCCTCTGCCTCCAGAGAAGAATCTGAAACTTACCAACTGTACAGGGAACAAAAAGACAGCCTTGAGAAAGATATCACAAGCTGAAGGGGAAACCATACACTGAGGCAGAGAGAGAAACACCAAAACCCAGATAAGAGAGCACAATGGCTCATGAAGAGTATAAGCTGGCCTGAAGTGAAAAAACACACGAGACAACTTGTGAAATCAGCACCATGAAGGTGTTGATGCCAATTCAAGCAACAAGGAGGAGAGGCAATGACGACCCAGCTAGACTCGACCTGATATTCACCTTGAATGAGTCTGACATAAGGGAAGTTAAATTTGAAGCCCCCATGAGAATGAGCGACCACAGCATACTGACATTTGAGTATCTGGTGGAGGTAGGGATAACCTATCCAAGAAAGTAATCGGAGAGGAAAAGGCTGATTTACCGAAGAGGAAAATATGACGAGATAAGGAACTTCCAAATGGGAATACCTTGGGAAACAGAACTCGGAGAAAAGACTGTACAAGATATGATGAACTACATAACCCAGAAGTGCCAGGAAGCTGCAGACAGGTTTATCCCGGCCCAAAAGGAGAAAAATTAAAAACTGAAGAATCCATGATTCAATCAGGAATGTAGGGTAGCAAAGCAATTTAATTCAAGAACATGGGGAAGCTACAGAAATAACAACACCAGAGAGCAGGGAGAGATACCAGCGGGAAAGGAATGTGTATCTCAGAGTGAGGAGAGAAACAGACAGACAGTACGAAAATGACATCGCAAGTAAAGCCAAGACCCCACCAAAACTGCTCCACAGCCACATCAGGAGGAAAACTGCAATGAAGGAATAAGTGATGAAACTGAGAAAAAATGGGAACAGATGCACAGAGAATGACAAGGAGGTGTGTAAAGTACTCAACAAGAGATTCCAGGAGGTCCTCATAATAGTGTAAGGAAAAGCCCCTGCACTAAGAGATGAGTAGTAAATCAAACAACCTTGGGGGAATTTGAGCTTATCGGTGATAAGGTCAAAAAGAATCTATTGGAGCTAAATGCAATGAAAGTTGTTAGGCCCTGGCAGAATCTCACCATCTCAGTGTAATGCATTAGGCAGTGATGTTGTGGAGGCAGACTCCATACACGTTTCAAATGTAGATTTGATAGAGCCCAGTAGGATCAAGAATCTGTACATCAATTGATTGACAGTTGAGAGGGAGGACCAGAGAGCCAAAGCTCAATCCCCACAAGCACAACTAGGTGAGTACAGTGGCTCCACCAATGCCAAACAATAAGTGGCAACAGTATTAAGCATTACACACAGAAATCACAATATCATGATGCATCAAATGACCAAATCCACAGGGGCCATGATGAGGGTTCGAACCTACGTCTGAGAGGCTCCCAGACACTGCCTTAATCGACTGAGCTATGACATGGTAAAAGAATTGCAAATGGGAGATCAACTTGATCTATCATGGATCCTGCAGTCTCTCTGAGAGAGAAACCAGGGTTTTACACAATTCCCCCCATGCACCCGAGCTATGTCAATAGGCTATTCTACCTCTTCGCCCTTCATTACACACAGAAATCACGATAGCGTGATGCATCAAATGAACACATCTACCTGTGGCTGATCCAAAATCTGACAGCGACGAAGCTGTAGACGGAGCAAGGCTATTCTGCTATCAGAATGATAACTAACTCAGCTTTCAGACAACACTCAGCTCCCTTGTTTAAATCCCTAAACTTGCTAAATATTAACTCCCTCCACACATTCTCTTGTGTCAACTACATTTACAAAACCCTGTTCTTAAATGCAAACCATGCTCTGAAACTCTCCCTGGACAGATGTAATAGGACCCATTATCACCACACCAGAAATAAATATCTCTTTGATATCCCCAGGGTCAAACTTAATCTGTGTAAACACTCTATGCAAATTAAGGGACCTAGTTTATGGAACTCACTCCCTAGTGAATTGAAAAACTGTAAAACTTTTGCCTTATTTAAAAGCAAAACCAAAAAGTACCTAACTTCATCTTCTTAGTTTTCCTACACTGAGCTTTAAATTTGCTCTGTACCTAGTGTTACCCAATCTCCTAATTTTTATGTAATTTCAAATAACCTTATCATTGTGTTCATTGCTGTCTTCTTTTATGTGCTAGCCATATGCTGTATTGTGACTACCAATTTTTGTCAACTACCATTCAAGCTGTCATTGCAACCAATCTTATATTGTTTCTGCTGTATTATGCCTACCAATTTTTTTGTCAACTACCATTCAAGCTGTCATTGCAATCAATCTTAGCTACCTATGTGCTTTAATATACTGTACCTACAATTTTCTCTCATCTTTTTTTTCATTTCATGTAATCTGTTATCATTTTTTGTCTATAATTTTGCAAGTATTTACCTCCTTAAAATTTTCTTAGATTAAGGACCTGCCCGAAACGCTGCGCGTGCTAGTGGCTTTACAAGACTGTAATTACCATATTTGTATCCTCACATTCCTTATGTACATTCTTGTATATGCATAAATAAATAAATAAAATAAATAAATAAATAAATAAATAAAGGCCACTGGAGGAAGGGACAGAAAAACCGACCGAGAGTCTCAAACGAGGCCAAGTCAAGTCCGAACCTGGGACAGAACAAATTGGGACTTTTCCAGTTCGTCAGGAACCCAAACTTGGCGAGCTGACACACGGACTGAGTGGGGGCCCCCTTTCCAGCCAGTCGTCATGGTAGGCCAACACATGAACCACTAAGAGATATAGCCATGCCACCAAGACTTGCACTAACCTGATAAACACATGGGGAGGGGCCAGATTCAAGGCTTCAAGGGGCCAGTCACCCTACAACAAAACCTAGCCAGTCCTTGAACCTGGAATGAATTGAGACATGTCAATAAGCATCCTGGAGATTCACGGAAACTCTCCAGACTCCAGCCTTTAGTAGCTGGCGAACTTTAACCAAAGTGGTCAAGCAGAAAGTCGGACAGGGGATGAAGCTGTTTAACCCCCTAAAGATTGAGGACGTACTGGAGGGCCATAAGACTTGACCCTAAGAATGGGGGAGGAACTGACCAACTCCTCCACAGGTTAAGAGAGACGACCCGAAAAACGTTGGATCAGGAGCTAGCAAAATGGGCCAGATTTCCCCCACCCTCCCCACCATGGCGGTGTCAAAGGGGCGAACCGTGAAAGGGCCGGTGTGAACCACAAGCAGAACCAACATTCTGCTAAACGCAGTTGCAACATTGAGCAGAGGAGGAACTCGCATCAAGAAGCGCAATGGTCCAAGAATTGGATCCAGCCAAGCACCTACCTTGACTAACAGCAGACGAAGTCCCGGCTACCCTACCTAACTGCCTTCAAATAAGGACAGAGCCCTGAGAAATAAATGATCAATGGGGACAGCCAGAGAAAGCCACCATGGACAAAACCAGTCCAACATCATCCTCAGGAAAGAGTTGAAAAGGAAAAGGTGGACAAAAGAGAGACCAAACTGAATATAAAGAACAAGTCAACACAGCCTGTTTACTGGCGAAATGGGTTGAATAAAATGCCGCCTCCGCCTCCTGAAAGAAAGGGGTGTGGCTCTTGAGCAAGGCCACCAAGGCAGGTACCGCAAACTACAATGCCTCTAAACCCAACGAAGGCACGTCCTCAGAAGGTCCCTTGCCCAAGGACCAAAACATGCATGCCAAGTGTGAACGTGCCCTGTGTTCCTTTCTAATAAGGACCCGAGCAGCGTAGGCAGATGTACGTGGAGCTGCCATTTGCCGACATCCTTTGTGAGCAGTAGGCAGTTCTTAAACTGCCTACAGGGGTATAAAAAGCGTTGTCATGGAACTCCTGAATTGTTTACGGGCTATTCATGCCCGTGCCACCTCATGGGTGGCTTAACCTTCATCAATCAATCAACTCCTGAAAGATGGAATTCACTTCACATCAACTAACCCCTGCCAAATTCCCAAGGAAAAAGAGGGATATCAGCCAACCAGGATGAATCCAAGACCTTACAATGCAACCAAAAGAGGTGGGGCCTATCAAACAAAAGAGGTCTGAGATCAACAAGAGATACTGGAACAAATCTGTATGAACCACCGAGGGTACAACATGGAAATAAGATGACTGAGGCACTGAATGAGACCCGGAACTGAACCAGAGGAGGTAGCAGCCATTCAAACTCATACATAGAAAAGGGATATGAAAAATTATCTCTCCGAAGTAAAAGACCCAACGCAGAGAGAACCAAATTCCACAAAGGGTTGAAGGCCCTCCTTGGGCTTCCCCTCAGTCCCGGAAATCTGCCATGAGGGATCCGGCAAAAATCCAAAGTCCTCGCCCAACACCTGCGATAGAAAGGCGTCCTTCCAGGCATCCTGCCATGGACAAGGCACGAAGCGAGTGACATTTGTGAAGGCAAATGTTACGAAACCCCAGCCAGGATCAGAAGGCTCAAGAGGGCAGGACCACCCTGCAGAAGGCTGAGCGGTGGTCCTAAGCAGCCCGACTCCAAAACCCTCAGATGCTTTGGAGCATCTGAGGGTTTTGCGCCCTGCTTCTAGTCTTCACCCCCTGGTGAAGACTAGAAGCAGGGCGAACCATACCTGCAGGAAAGAAAGAGGAGACATGGACTTAGTCCTGGTAGAGGTCGCCAACACCTCTAAATCCGATATGCCCTCGGGCAAATTCAGGTTGGTGCAAACTAGCATCAATATTTACTACAATATTTATAAATACGGTTTGGGAATAACAACTCTCCCATGATCGGTGTAAAATGGGAGCTATATTGCTATACTGTGGTGGGAAGTACTTATAGCTATGCG